AGCATTAAAGTTCTAGGAACATGTAACAGATCCAGTTTTGTTGCTGTGTGTACTTCTGTGAATAATTGGCTGCTCCCTGAATGGGATTTATTAATGGACAGGGATAGTGGTGGTATTACTATTTCAAATGCACAAACCTTTCCTTGAATCAAAGAGTGCATCTAGACAGCACCCTTCTGTTGGAATAGCACCAAATTTCAAAATGAGGCACTATTCCGACAAATCCCTTAACCCTCGTGGAATGGGGGAATCAGACAACAAACTGATTCGGGAACTAGTGGGCGCTTTTAAAGATGTGGCATTGCTATTTCAAGATACTTCCGTTATCCTGAAAGAGCAATGCAGTCTAGATGTACCCAAAGACTACAACCTGATCAATACTAGGAAATTAGGCCCACATAACTACAATGCACGGGGTATAAAACATTCACACCTCTAACCAAAGGAGAGACGAAGAAAATTGTTCCTACACAACTGTTGCAGTTGCCATTAATTGCTGTGTTTGTTGTCTGATTCCGGCTTGTAAAGCAATAGCTAGAAATGTTTCAGCTGTACCATTGTAGTGTAGACTTTACCTACAGTAGAAAAGGGTAGGAGTAGGCTGAAATAGCTTCAGCTCTCAGAAATGAGGATTTTTTTGCACCTTTGAGAGATGTAGCTGTAACAAATATAAATTCCTAGTGTGAGCTAGGAAGTAGAGCCCTTAGAAATATATAAAATGGATGATTGTATCAGGATGCCCTGAGAGAGGCAGATATCCGTGAAAACAATTAAGGGAGTAGATGATTGACCTATATATACAAAATAAACACATCTTTGGTCAATTAGAAACCTGGTATAGCAATTATGACTTTCTGGATCAGTCAATCAGGGTATCTTAAACATTCAGGCTACGTCTACACTGGCATGATTTTCCGAAAATGCTTTTAACGGAAAACTTTTCCGTTAAAAGCATTTTCAGAAAAGCACATCTAGATTGGCAGGATGCTTTTCCGCGAAAGCACTTTTTACGGAAAAGCATCCGTGGCCAATCTAGACGCGGTTTTCCACAAAAAAGCCCCAATCGCCATTTTTGCGGAAAACACTACAGTGCTGTTTACACTGGCCCTTTTGCGCAAAAGTCTTTCGGAAAAAGACTTTTGCCCGAACGGGAGCAGCATAGTATTTCCGGAAAAGTACTGATGATCTTACATAAGATCGTCAGTGCTTTTCCGGAAATTCAAGCGGCCAGTGTAGACAACTGGCAAGTTTTTCCGCAAAATCACATGATTTTGCAGAAAAACTTGCCAGTCTAGACACAGCCATACAGTAAAACTCCAGTGGTCCCCCACTCCTGGCATCCAGTGGTCCGGCATCCAGTGGTCCGGCACTCCTGATGGTCCAGCACCATCTGGAACCCAGAAGTGCTGGACAATTGGAGCTGCTCTGCTCCCGGTTTCCCCGATTCAGCCGCTGCTGAAA